AAAAAAATAAGCTATCATCGAAGAAAATCGATGCAAAACTACGTAAGTTATAAGCGATCAAATAAAAATACCCAGGTTGCGCAACTTCAATGTATGTGCCTATACATACATACATATATTAAAGGTATAAAGTGCAAGTGAGATATTATCCGGATAAACGAATAACACCATAACAATGATAACACTTTTTCTTTAAATAAATCAAATAGTACTTTTAATACTCGAATTGTATTATAGTAGGTAGAGTGGTTGCATCGAAAGGAAGAGTGGTTGGGTTCGAAACCTGCTGTAGGCATGTAGTTATAAACATGTATTTCCGTCAGTTACGGGTAAGTATGCAGGTAGATTTTCAAAATTATAAGACACAGAAAATTTCTAAAGCCTACATCTAAAACAGGTAGTATTTTCTTTTCCCGGCTTGTTATAAAAGGGAATCTTTCTGTCTAGGTAAGATTTGATTTTTTCAATTTTATTCTTGTTCCGAGTATAAATATGAGTTAATGCGCTTTGAAACTTCATAACATCTTCAAGGCTCGCCGGAGATAGTTCAGTTCATAAGTCTAATTTCAAAACCGTGATTTATTAAAAAAAATAAAATGAGTAAAAGGACGCGAGAATTTGAGTGTAATAAGGATCCAGATATGTTCTGTTTCATGTGTGGCCAATATACTATCATAAGGCGACGACGAGTGTTCTCAGATCATATCAAAACTTTATACTCCAAGTATTTTGGAATTGAGCCTAAAAATGCTGAAAAACCATGGACACCGAACACTTTGTGTACATCGTGTCGAGTAGAATTGATTCAGTGGGAATCAGGACAACAAACAAAATTTGATACACCAATGATATGGAGAGAACCTACTTGCCATTCAATAGAGTGTTATATTTGTCAAACAAAAGTACTTGGCGTTGGAAGATCAAGAGGAGTAACCTATGCTAGCGTACCTACAGTGACATTACCAGTACTACATTCAACGGCAGTTGCGGATCCAGTTCCATTGTCAACAGTAACATCTGAGTGCGGGGGATCAAGTTGTACTGAATTTCGCATGGAAAACGAAAGAAACGTTCTGTCACAAGCACAACTTAATGATTGGATAAGAGATTTGGAACTATCCAAGGAAAGGCCGAGATCCACACTTCTCGTATGCAACAATTTAAATTTGTGTCATCCGATGTTAAGGTGACATATAGTAGAACTCGTCACGAACCATTTTCCAAACACTATACCAAGAAAGACAGTATATGCTACTGCAACGACATCCCTGGTTTATTCAAAGAGTTTGGTCAAACATATGATTCAAAAGAGTGGCGATTGTTCATAGACGGCAATAAACTGAGTTTGAAGGCTGTATTATTGCATATTGGTAACAAAAAGCCTTCTATCCCGATTGCACATGCAGTAAATACAAAGGAAACCTACGAGGAAATGCAAAAAATACTCAAATTTATCAAATATGAAGAGCATGATTGGAAAATATGTTCTGATCTCAAAGTCGTTGCAATGCTATGCGGTCTACAAAGTGGCTACACCAAGCACTGCTGCTTCCTCTGCAAGTGGGATAGCCGAGCTCGTAAGGACCACTACGTCAGAAAGGATTGGCCGGAAAGAGTCGAGTTTACCGTTGGTGTGGATAACATCAAATACACCCCTCTTGTCAAGAAAGAGAAAATCATACTTCCACCCTTACACATCAAGCTCGGTCTCATTAAAAACTTTGTTAAGGCTTTGGACAAAGAAGGCGAAGCATTCGACTATTTGAAAACAGTTTTTCCAGATATTTCTCAAGCCAAGATAAAGGAAGGTATTTTTGTTGGACCACAAATAAGAAAGTTGATCAACAATAATCAATTCAAAGGACTACTCTCATCAGTTGAGGCAGCAGCGTGGGAATCCTTTGAAAAGGTCGTTGCTTCTTTTCTCGGTAGACACAAAAGCCCTAACTACGAGCAGATAGTGAACGACCTAATCAATAATTATGCGAAAATGGGCGTAAATATGTCTTTAAAAATTCACTTTCTCCACTCACATTTGAGCTTTTTTCCGGCAAATCTTGGCGACAAAAGTGATGAACATGGCGAAAGGTTTCATCAGCAAATGAAATTAATTGAGAGTCGATATCAAGGATTCTGGGACGTCGCAATGATGGGTGATTACTGCTGGTTTCTCATAAGAGAAACCGATCCTAAACTGAATAAGCGTCAAAGTAGAACACATAATTATTTCGACAACATAGTAAAA